CATAATAAAACCTATGTCCAAATGTCCATTAATTTATGTCTAATCCAATTGGCTATCATCTAACTCCCAACATGATTAATTGTTTTGTACCCATGGTGAATATGCATGATAATGAAACCTACTAGGAAGTTGATTTTAAGTGTGGTATATTGGTAAATATACTTTTAGGGTGCAGTATTTCATTAATATTTTTTTATGGTTGATAGAATCTCACTAAAAAAAGGGATTCTTAGGTAATAGAGAAATAGATATTTTAAGTGAAAATCATAATTAATTATAAGAGATATTTTACGTGGAATGTGAAACTTTTGTTTAAACTGCATGTATTTGACATTAATAAACACACACACACATTAACATATATATATATATATATATCATGGTAAAATATTCTGAAATGTGATTAAAATGGAAGAGTAAAATGGGCTAGTAGCTTAACTAATAAAGGCAGAAACCAAGAAATCCATAAAAGAAAAAACCAAAGGACATTATTGTTTTTCGCATAGTACAAGTCAAGCTAAAAGAAGAGAGAGGCAGGTGATGGTGACAAGCTCTCCATCTCTTCAGGGGATGCCCTCTTCAACAGTGGCACGTTCGTGAAGGAGACTGATGCTTTAAATTTAAGTCATAAGAAAGTACATAAGGAAGGTGTGAGTTTCTCAAGAGGGGTTTTGAATGTGCCGCAAGTAGAAGGCTAGATGGAGGAGGATCAAGTGAAGCGTTTGATCCTATACAAGGACTCAGTTTTGAGAAATTTAACTCACTCATAGTGTGACTTTGATGTTGATGATGATGAAAGTCAAACAATGATGGAGAATTTCTTTAGTACTAGATTTGATGATATTTTGGAGACTACAAAAGGAATTAGGGTGGATCTCTTAGATCCTAGATGCCCTAACTTTGTGCTAGATGATATGGAGAAGTCGACACTATTGAAGCCATTTATAAAGACTCTGATAGTTAAGGTTTTAGGTAAAAGTGTCTTTTTAGATGCATTTATGAAGCATTTAAACATGATTTGGGCAAAGATAAGGAAAATACATGTTTATGATTTAGTAAATGATTTCTTCCTAGTTAAATTCCAGAGTTAGGATGATTATGAGGCAGTGTTGACTGTTGGGCTATGGATCTTCTAAGATAGCTATTTGTGGGTTACGATATGGAGTAGGGATTTTGATTTGATGAAGCAAATTGTGGATAGAGTCAGTGTGTGGGTTAGGCTACTTGATCTTCTTGCAACCCACTATGATAAGAAGTTTTTGTTCAATCTTGGAAACGCCATTGGCAAGTCTATTAAAGTTGATTTACTTACTACACAATGTGGTAGAGGTAAGTTTGTGAGACTGTGTGTTGAACTTGATTTAACTAAGCCTTTGATTCCTTAATATAGTATAAGGGTGTAGTGAAAATCATTGAGTATGAATGTATAGGCCTATTATATCTTTACTGTTGTGAATATAGGCATATTAGGGAGGCTTGTGAGGAATAGGATGAATTGAAAAAGAAAAAGAGTAAGGATAAGTTAAGAGACAGTGTAACTCTCATGCTGTCTAAGATGTGATGGAGAAGGGGAATGTTATTATGGAAGATATTGAGGAGATGGAGAGTCCTTGTAAGGTTGTATAAAGACCTTAGAGACAAGAAGGCCTCAGGGTTAAAAGGCAAAGGTAAGGAGGGAAAACAAGTTTGCTACTCTTAATAATCATGGGGAAATAAAGCTATATGGCTCTCTTTTAGTTGATATTATGAATGTTACTCATATAGGGTAGGATAGATATAAGGTTGTGGGTGGGGAGGTAGAAAATTATCTAATTCTATACTGTATGGTCACAAAGGAGTGGTTTTAAAGCTAACAAAGGGTCTAGTCATGTTGAATCTATGATATAGGGGAGGAACATTTCTACATCTAGTAGTAACTTGTGTATCTTACTAAAAAGGTCTAAAATTTTATAAAACAAAGTACTGGGAGTGATCGAATGAATCTTAAAATATTAACTTTGGGATGCCTATTGATGAAGGAGAGGATAGTGAGTCTATAGTTAAATAACCGAGGGAAACCTAGTTTATATAGTTAAATATTAATTGATTATTTGTGAAACATGGTTGATATGTTTAATTATTAATGCAATTTTTGGAAAAATGATGACCTTTTGAACTTGTGGTATGATTTTGAAAATGGAAACCTTTGGCAAGCTAGCTATTTGTGATTAATGATTTGATTAATGCATGTCACTATGAAATTGATAGAAATATGGTATTTGGCATGTGGAGTGAGTTGAGTATATGAGTATGGATATGTGATTCCGTGTGATATTTGACATGTGGAGTATGTGGAGCATATGATTATAGATGTGTGAATTCATATCAGATGAATTATGGATCAAAATGTATAATATGTGTAAGTTATGCATAGCATGATCATTGTTGGGAGTTCATCTAGGAAGAGAAGTAGTTGGTAAATCAACATGGTATCGGCAACAACCATTAGAATCGAGAGCTTACTGTAACTCCGATTGTTAAAATTAGGAGGTAGCCCTTATCTCATGGTAGATTCGAAACTGTCTCACTAGTTCTATGATGGATTTAAACCTAACTACTCTCCTTCAATTCATGAGGAGGTTAGATTAGGGGTATGACACCCCATGGTTGTTAGTATTGGGAGAAACCATGTTACACAAGTGAGTAAGTTAACCCTAGCCTAGTAGCTCCTCACAAGTAAAAGGCTAGGTTAATCTATGAAAGACTTAGCCACATAATAGCCCGATTTTATATCAGAGGTAATAAGAGAATATAAGGCTAGCATTTGATCATACATTTAGATTCAGCCACATAGTTATTATTATTGTGATTCGGCATGTGTTAAGGGCACACGGTTAGTAATATTATGACCCCATGATATGCATTGTCATTTAATATAGATATATGTGCTTTAGGCCTGATCACATAGTTATTAGTGTTGTGAACATATGTTCATCACATGTGCTAATTTTATATTTTTGCCTATTTGCATATGTTTTTAATTGATATGCAACTGTATAATTTAAGTGAAAATTGGTTATTGAGTGATTGTACTCACACTTCAACTCTCAACATTTCAAGGTCTAGCTCAGTGTAGCCTGATCAAGGGAAATATGTTGAGGCATAGGATTTATAGAATAATCCTTTTTGAATGCCTCATTTTGTTGCTTTCTGTTTATTAATGTTAATTAAATTGCCAATTAGGATTCATATAACTATTTTAGTACTACTTGTATTATGTTTGTGCACAACTTATGTATTTTGTACCCTGGGTTAATGAGTTTTAGTTGTAAACCTTATTTAAGGTTAAAATACTTGTGCAAGTACTGATATGTGTATTTTAGGTTGATTTAAAATTGTGCAAAAAGTTCCTTCCCCTCGTGTTTTATGAATTTGGGATTGAGTGATGATTTTGCATCATATGTGTATTTGGTTGAGTATGGTACATTGCATGAGTCCTTTAGAGTCCATTGAGTGTGGTCGATGGTCAGTGTAATCTTTTGGCACTTGCGTGTGAGTTTGGACACCCTTGTGGTGAGTTTTGTGAAAAAGTGATGAAAATAGATTTAGATGTCCAACTCTTTATAGAACATGAATTTGAGTGAAACTTGTGCCATTAACTAGAGTTAGGAGAAAGGTCTTTGTAGACACCAAAATTACCTCAATCGGATGTCGAATGAAAATTTGGGACACGTTGAAAGTTTGTCCCTGTGTTGTCATGTGACAGTAATTGTTTGTTATCACATTTCATGCAATACATTATGGCGCATGGCACAAAGGCGATTGAGTTACAATGCATGGACCCTTCGCCACAGTGCATGTACCATTTTTTTGCATAATTTTATAGTTTTCAATCTTAAATCTAATGTTTTTGGCCCTATTTGATTTTTGGGCTTTTGCATGTTTGATATCTTGTTTTGAGCATAATGAAATTGTTTAAGAGAGTTTTCAATGTTGAAAATCTAAGGAAATCATTGTATATGGCTTGAAGTTGTTTTTCTCCATTTGATAACTTGATTCTCTCATTTGTGAATTGTGAAAACTTGATAATCCATATTGGGTTAGATCCTTGATTACCTTGATAGTGGAATTAATGGTGTTTATAAAGAGGTGATTACAATCTACATCAGTTATGGCCATTACAGGTGTAGATATCAAAGTCATGTAGACTAGTTTTAGTGAGAACCAGTGTAGATAACAATATATCTATAGTAGATAACAACATATCTACACCAATGATGATGACAATTGGTGTAGATTATTTTTTAAAAAAATTATGTATATAATTTAACTTATCTGTACTTGTTTAGAACTAGTGTAGGTTGTCCAATAATTACATCAATTAAATGATCGGTGTAGATAACTTCATCATATCCACACCGGTCTTATCTATATTAGTTGGAAAGTTGGTGTAGATAAACTATTTTAACTGGTGTAGACTTGCCTATCTATACTAGTGAAAGGCTCTAGAAGAATACAAGTTTTCCTTTAGCTTATACTACATAATCGTTTATTTACTTCTAGTAAAGGACTAGTATAATAGGGGTTCCCTTAGTTGTTGTAGGTGTGGTGAGGGTAAGGAATCTTTGTTACATGATGTGAGAGATTGTACTATTGCCCATAGCATTTGGGTGTCACACAAACATGTTGAGGTTGGGTGGGATTTCTTTTAGTTGTCTCTTGGGGATTGGATTAGGCAAAATTTAATCTACAGTAGTGATTGAAGAATTGTTTTTGCTATCACTTGTTGGTGAAAGTAGACTTAGAGGAATAAAACCTTATTTGAGGAGGATTTTCGACTTCCTAATGACCTAATGACCCTAGTGGAATTATCAAGAAGTATACATGGGAAGCACTCAATTTGAAGGCTAATAATGGAGTGCTTGGGAGAAGGCACATGATGGTTGATAATTAAATGACATCCCTCTCCTCTTGGTTGGGTCAAATTAAATTTTGATGGTGCTAATATGAAGGGGTAGAAAATGTCTGGTTGTGGTGGCTTGCTTAGTGATGAGAAGGGTGGGTTGGTGAAGGGTTTTATAAAGAAGCTTGGAAATTGTTCCACTATCCTAGCTGAATTGTGTGCCATTTTTTGGGGGTTGAAATTGGCTAATGAAATGGGTTTTAAGAAGATAATTGTGGAAGGGGATTCAACATCTGTTATCAGCATGTTGAAGAATATGGAGAATCAATGGGAGGCTTTTGGCTCCTTGCTACTACTACTTCAGAAGGAAATATGTGCTAATTGTCAACTATACTTTCAACATAACTACAAGGATGGTAACCAATGTGCTGATTGGTTAGCTAATTATAGTTTTAATTTTGATTTTGAGGCTTGTTTTTTATCTGTGCTCCCAGCTGATTTACAAATAAAAATACAATCGTGCTCAATTTTTTATTTGTGCCCCTAGCTTTAAGGCTTGTTTTTTATCTGTGCCCCTAACTAAAAATACAACCGTGCTCAATTTTTTACTTTATATAACAATATATTTTGAGGGGAAAATAAAAATAAAAGTCACGAAGACTGCCAAAAGTTTCTTAATTAGCATTCTAGTTGAAAATTAAGAGAATCTATATATATGCTGAAAAAATTAAACATTAACTGGATTTTTAAAAAATGGTTTGTTTTGATATACTTCCTCCAAACCATAATACAAGTCAAAGTTAATTAATTCATGATTTATGAAAAATGTTAGTTGAAACTTTAAATTGTTAAAGATGTCTGCATTTTTTCATTTATACCCTTATTAAATACTCTATATAAAAACCTTATAATAATAATTAAAATTTCAATGCATGATTTTTGTCAAAAAGAATAACAAATGAAGTAGGGCATAATTGAAAAAATAAATATGAAAGTTATTCAATGTCTTATATTTTAGACCAAAGAAAATTTAGAATATGCCTTTTATTATGATCCGAAAGGAGCATATATCAGTATGATGACATATATAGCAGATATGGTGCTAGTGTAATCAAAGCAAAAAAAGCTTAGTTGAAAACATTTGGAAGAATGATAGTTAGGTCCTAAAACACTAAATTGATGACCATTAAATTCTCTACAATTTTTTTTGTAAAATAGTTGAAAATATTGATCTAATTGTAAATAAGAATTTAAGTATCAAATGTAACTCTTAAATTATAATAGAAATTTCTATTTGTAATTGTTTAACTTAATATTTATAATTAATTTTGTAGAAAATTTTCTTGTAGATCTAACTGTCATTCATTCCTTTCTTTGGGACTTGACTATAATTCTACCAAAATATTTTAGAGTCTTCATGCTAAAAAAAACATTTTAGAATTACTTCAAAACCTTTAAAAAAAATCATTAACGTACATGCTCGTGGAATTAAATGGCCAACATTAAACTTCTAATTAAATTTAAATATGAGCATTGTACATGCAGTGAAAAAACTCAATGGATAAAAACATAAGAGATGTATATATATTGAACTCACCATAAAGGGAAAAACCTTTTGATAGAGTTTAGCTTCCTCATAACATCTGTTGCACCCATTCTATCATGTGGTGATTCCATTGAGCAAGCAAGTCCAATCTTAAACGTGCAACATAAGCACTTCTCAACATTAGCATAGATCGTTACCATGTTCTCCTCTAAGTCTCTTGATGCTGGAGGAAGAATAGTTGGGCTCACAACTTGCAAAAGATTGTTTGGAAAAGTACTTTCCACATATTTATGAAGATTGTGACCATCTTTAAACATGTCTTCAGTAGGTCTTCTCTTTATTAGCATCTCTAAAATAAGAAAGCCAAAGCTATACATGTCACCATGTACAGACACCTCAGAACCCATTCCATATTCTGAAATGTTGTAAGCACGTTAGTTCTCACAAAATTAAAATAAAATGAAGAAGAAAAAATGATGAGGGTAATTTGAAAGAAATGGATTTGCATGAGTTTGCAAGGGAAAAAAAACAAATGATACTGGTGGAATATAGCTAATAGTACCCATTCACTCCAATTACGCTGCTATGTTTATTAGCAATTGATAATAGTCTTGCTAATCCAAAGTCACTCAAATGAGCAACCATGTTTCCATCAAGAAGAATATTACTTGGCTTCAAATCACAGTGAACAAGTGGTTGCTCACATTCATGGTGAAGATAATGTAGTACAGATGTGATGTCAACAAGAATATTTATTATTTGATCAAGGAGCAAAACTCTTGGATGATTTGAATTTTCTGTACCAGGATGTAACCAATTTTCCAAACTTCCATTCACCATGTACTCATAAACTAAAGCTTTGAATTCGTGGCCCATGTAATCTATGCTAGCGCAACATGTTATAATGTTTACCAAATTTCTATGCCTTGTATTTCTGAGAGCATTGCATTCAGTAATGAAACTCCTATGAGCTCCCATCATTTGAAGGTTCATGACCTTTATGGCAACAACTTCATTAGACTTAAAACTACCTTTGTATACGGAGCCAAAACACCCAGATCCTACCAAGTTGTTGATAGAGAATCCATTTGTAGCATTGTGCAGGCTTTGATATGATACTTTGGAAAGCATGTCAATTGTTAGTGAACTTGAAGAAGATTTCTTACTTCTTTTCTTCATATGATACAACAACAACAACAACAACAACAACAAGCCTTTATCCCACTAGGTGGGGTCGGCTACATGGATTGCAAGACGCCATTGTGCTCTATTATTTATCAAGCTTTTAAGAATATTATTAATTAAGAGATCGCGTTCAACAACTTCCAAGAGTGTTCTCTTAGGCCTTTCTCTACCCCTCTTAATCGGACTCAAAGTTATATATTCCACTCTTCTTACTGGTGCCTCCCTTGGTCTTCTTTGTACATGCCCAAACCATCTCAACCGATTTTCTACCATTTTTTCCTCAATAGGTGCTACCCTCACTTTTTCACGTACGTGCTTATTTCGAATTTTATCTTTACGTATATATCCGCACATCCATCATAATATTCTCATCTCTGCTACTCCAACTTTATGCTCTTGCTGTCCCGTTAGAGCCCAACATTCACTACTATATAACATTGCCGGTCTGATAGCAGTGCGATAAAACTTTCCTTTAAGTTTATTAGGCACCTTATGGTCGTAAATAACTCCTTTAGCTTTTCTCCAATTAAACCACCCAACTTGAATCCTATGTAAAATATCTCCACTGATTTCGCCATCATTTTGAATAATGGCTCCTAAATATCTAAACTTTTTCACTTGAGGTATAATTTGATCTCCCAATTTCACTTCCAAATTATTATCGAATAGTCTCTTAGCAAATTTACAATATAAATATTCCATCTTACTCCTACTCAGACGAAAACCTTTCGACTCCAATGTCCTCCTCCATAACTCAAGTTTGCAATTAACCTCTTTTCTTGTCTCTGCTATAAGAACGATATCATCTACGAAGAGCATACATTTGGGAATTTCCCCTTGAATATGTTCCGTTAAAACATTTAAGATCAAGTTGAATAGATAAGGACTCAGAGATGATCCCTGATGTAGTCCAATCTTTATAGAAAAATCTTTATTTGACCACTGGGCGTTCTTATACTAGTTTTTACCCCCTCATACATATCTTGTATGGCTTTAATATAAGCAATCCGTACTCCCTTTTTTTTCCAACGCTTTCTAAAGCACTTCTCTTGGTATATGATCATAAGCTTTTTCCAAATCAATAAAAACCATGTGTAAATCTTTATCTTTACAACGATACTTTTCCATTAATCCCCTTAATAGATAAATTGCCTCTATAGTTGATCTACCTGGCATAAAACTAAACTAATTCTTAGAAATACTTGTCTCCAATCTCAACCTGTGCTCAATTACTTTCTCCCACAATTTTATTGTGTGGCTCATAAGTTTAATCCCTCTATAGTTAGTACAATTCTGAATATCTCCTTTATTTTTATAAATAGGAATTAATGTACTTCTCCTATACTCATCAAGCATTTTCTTGGACCGTAAGATCACATTAAATAACTTAGTTAACCATCTCACCCCTTCTTCACCTAAACTTTCCACGCTTCGATAGATATATAATCAGGTTCGTTGGCTCTACCATTTGCCATTTTCTTAAGAGCTTCCTTTACCTCCTTATCATGTATTATTCGATAGAATGACAAATTTTATTCTCCTTCACCACTTACTAAATTCTCCAAGTTACTAGATGAACCCTCTCCATCATTGAAAAGTTTGGAAAAGTAAGTCTCCCATCTATTTTTAATTTCATCATCTGTAACTAAAATTCTTCCCTCTTCATCCTTAATACACCTTACTTGTTCTAGATCCCTTGATTTTCTTTCCCTACTCTTGGCAATCTTATAAATGTTTCATTCTCCTTCCTTTGTCTCAAGGCTCTTATAAAATTCTTCAAAAGCTTTAGAACGTGCTTCACCCATAGCTCTCTTAGTTTCCTTCTTAGCCATACGGTACTTCTCTCAATTTTTCTCATTGTTACACAAATGTATGGCTTTAAAACAGTTCTTCTTATACTTGATTTTGTCCTGTACACTATTATTCCACCACCAAGATTCCTTATCTCTCGGACCAGAACCTTTTGGTTCTCCCAAAACTACTTTTGCAACCTCCCCTATCTTTTTAACCATATCCTCCCACATGATGTTAGCACTTCCCTGAGATTCCCAAATTCCTTTGTCCAAAAGATTTCGCTTGAAAATATCTTGCTTCTCACCTTTTAATTGCCACCACCTAATCCTTGGTGCTACTACTTGTCGACGCTTTTGGATTTTACTCATAATACACACATCAAGGACTAGGACCCTATGTTGTGTCGTTACAGCATCTCCGGGGATCACCTTGCAACTTTTACAAAGTCTTCTATCTGTGTTCCTAACCAAAATAAAATCAATCTGTGACCTTGAGGCTCCATTTTTATAAGTGATGAAATACTCATCTCTCTTCTTGAAACAAGTGTTGGCAATCTTAAAATCATACGCCAATAAGAAATCGAGAAGAGTTTGTCCTTTATTATTTAGCTCTCCAAAACCAAGACCACCATACACCCTCATATACTGACTAGCCTCCCTCCCAACATGCCCATTAAAGTCTCCTCCAATAAAAATCTTTTTACTCTGTGGTATGTGTCGAATCAACCCCTCCTGATCCTCCCAAAATAATTCCTTAAGACTGGCTTCTGTCCCAACTTGTGATGCATAAGCGCTAACAATATTAACAGTCTCACGTCCAATTATCATTTTTAAGGAAATAATTCTGTCTCCAATTCTGCTAACTTCTACAACATTCTTCTTCCACTCTTTATCTATAATGATGCCTACTCCATTGCGTGCGCTTACTTTTACTGCATACCAAAGTTTGAAACTTGAATATCCTTAGCTTCTTC